TAAGCTAACTTTTAATGATTTTTCTAAACGTTTAGATTATCATGTTTTATTGTATCTGATAGTAGAAGTGCGTGTTAAAGCATGGTTTAAAACTGCATACCAGCTGTCTTTCTGCCTTTTATCTTCAGAGTGCGTTCATGTCTGTAATGAAAGATAAGTATTTATATAGAAACAGCAGTTAAATTGCTGCAGATATATGTTATCCAAAAATAGACTCGTATGTTCATTATATTAAAGAGGATTGTTTTTTAATGTTACCAATATTTCAAACGAGGTAAAATAGCCTGAATTTTATTATTTTATGCGGATCAAGACATGAAACAGCCACGAAACAGCGATTTATTTTGGTATTAATTTGGGGTTGGGATCTGTTTTTACCATTAATGTTTTGTTTTTGTTTTGTGTTTTTTGTGGTTTAAGGATGATGTTAAGACTCCGCAAAACATTGTAAGTTACCTCTTCATTTTTATTTACAATCAACCTTTCTCCTGCCTACGTTCCAAAGTTGAAACGAAGTTTTATTTCGTCTGGTGTACTGTTTTTAAAATATTGGCTTTTTTACATTTTTGCTAAGACAGGCAATTTAAGAATGTAAAAACCAACAAAAATTCCCGTGCTTAGGAAAGTATCTAAATTCACTGTAAGTACTTTAAAGCTACATTAAATAAATTTCATAAAAACAGAAATGGCGACATTTTATAAATAAATTTGGTTTCATATCGACTCCAGATTTTCTTTTGGTGTCAAGACAACCAAAATAAGTTTTATAAGCATAAAATATGGGCAACCTCATTGTGGCGAAATCAGAAGTACAATAATAATTATTTCTGTTTGCATGAGAAACTCCGCCCTCGGTTCATCCGCACATCAATATTAAAACAACAAACATGACTATGTGCAGCAGTTCTAATCTAACGGTATATTTCCGCATTGTAACGGATGTTTTCATACAAATTTAATCCTTTTTATGAGATGATTATTTTTTCTGAACTACAGGCCTAGTTCACCGTGAAGCTAAAACGGTAAAAGTGTGTTTGCAAAAGAAAATCTCATATTTACTGTGTTCCGGACAGCAACTTTAACAATGTGACGAAGCGCATACACGAGCTGATTATTGTCTTCATTTGCATGCTAAAATTCGTATACGAACTTAAGTGTTACCTTGGGGGTTTCCGTTTAAAATCCTAATTTATGAACAATATTTGATGAGATTTACAACATAACTGTTAAAAAGGTTTATGAAACTGTATAATGCTTGTTTTTTTAAGCCGACGGCAAAATATCTTTACATATTTATTTAATGTAACTTAAACAATTGTTTCAAAAGTTTAAAGCCTGTAACATTGGACAAAAGCAATAATAAATCAGATCTTGGCATGGAGCAAAAAGAAAATAAATGTAACAAATTCTTTGCTTGAAATATCTGTTATGTCAGTTGTGTCCATACTGCGCAATATAAATGCTAGTGGTCTAGTGTCCTGTTCGGAAGAAATTGAAGAATACTGTTAGCCGGTGTCAATCCGTTTTCTCTTAGAATATATTATTGAGTCTGGTGGTGTGCCATATCGCTGTTTATACTGTTGATGGGATTATGTAAGAACCATATAGCTAATGGTTTTGTGAAACTAACAGTTTGGAATTGATTTTCCCTTATGTTAATGTTTTCATTTGAATTAAAGCCTTATTCTGAAATTACCATATATGCTCTACAATCATATACGGGTCCCAAAGGAAAGCTATACAATGGAAGGTATAATGTATATCATGCCTTAAACCCTTCTCAAACACCTAGTTAAAGTTCTATACTTCTACATTTGATAGATTTGTAATTGATACTTTGTTGAATATGAAAATTTTATTGTCAGCTTTACATTATGCTGTTATCATTGGTAGCCGAAACATACTTTTAACTCCTCCAGCTTACTACTTTGTTTATATCTTAGCCCTAATTGTTTAATCAATACACTTATAATCAGGGGTTATTTGTCAATTTTTAATTTCAAAGTATAACAGGTGTAAATCCCATAAATCAAGTATTAATGTTTACAAAGTCAAGTGGCCTTGAGACATTAACATTTGTTTTAGATGTTGTTGTACTACCGTCTGTTGTGGTCTTGTCTGGATAACATGAATATATGTTACTATAAAACTCTAAGAATCTGTTCATTGTTTTATGTATGTACTCTTTTCATCCGAAATTTTTAACCTCAATTTAACTTCCTTGAAACCTAATATAACTTCCTTGATATTTGTTACACATCCATTGTTCTATTTATGAATGGGAAATTAAATGACTTTTGAACAAATCTTGCGTCCGAGATGCTGATTGGTTGTATTTGTATGTATCAATAGATAAACATTTGTCGCAGAGATGAACAATAATTGTCAATCTTGATGTCTTTAATCACCTTATTTAAAACCTTTTAATGGAACTGATTGTGACACAAGTGAGTAAATAAACATTTGTAGGGCATTCTTATATGTATTTTTGTCCGTTTGGGCTAATGAACGTAAGAAAATACTTTTTAAGTTCTGTTTAATAATTATTGACTTTCTAAAAAGACTTGCACAGTTTTATCTACATATTGTTTAAATCAGTCTGTGTTGCAGCTACTTATATTATAAAACCATTATTGTGAAATGAATAATGCCATGGAGACGTTTAAAGTAATTTTGTATTATTGTCTTTATATATTGTTAACAGAAATGTTTAGATTCATATTTCCCTTCTCATTTTCTTACTATTTTGACAATGACAGGTTGTATAATATGATGTGGCGAGCATTGTTACTTATTTTGGCCGCTAACTGTAAGTTTCATTTATTTATATTCAAGACTTGTGAACATTACACTTACGAAAGACATTATCGAATTTGAATGAAGAATTATAATGATCGTAAATGTTTAAAACAAAACTTATGATAACAATTTGAATTTAAGATAGTTATTACATTATTTTATTATCTGTTTTGCATGCCTTTTATCATACATTAATCTCACAATAAGTAGCCTTGCACTTGCAATTTCTATGAGAGTAATATTTATTCAATATATTATAATAGAAGATAAAAAAGATTAATTTAAATGGCGAGTACACAGATAACAATAAAAGAAAATTTAAATTTTGCCTAATGATAATTTTGTTTACTACTTTGCCAAAACAAATAAAAATAAGTAAATAAATATAAATAAATAAATGAATGAATAAATAAAATAAACGACGTGACTCCTTCAAAAATCTCTAAATGTTCTTCAAATATATCTGAAACGTTCAATTTATTATAAGAGTGCGACAGTCGTTTTATATTTTAGGCAGTTTTTACATCTTATCATAATCATTTTTGGTCAATGACCATAGCAATAGTCCATCTTATAAAATATATAAAGAATTATTCGAACTTAACAATGACAAAAATGAGCAAAATGTCACTTAAATTTAAAATTAGTTCATATATTTCTAAGTATATATTTACATTTGTAATCTATGTTACAGGTATTGTATCAGGAAACCCAATTATTTCGCCAGCTTTCAATGATGTATTAGAAAACAGCAGTTTGGAATTGGCGTGTTATACTAACAAAAACATAGCTGTTACACAATGGGGAATTTTAAATCACATGGACACATTTTTGCACCTGTATCTTTCGGACAATGGAAGGTGTATAACAGATGGGTTCCTAGCTGACAAAAGATATTTTGAAACGAGTTGCTATAGTAACGGCACCTTCAAAATAAACATAAAACGTGTAAATTTAAGTAACCATGGTCAAGTATGGTATTGTTACAGCGATAATAGAATGATTAATATTGCTTATATAACTGTTAGAGGTAAGAATGTATTATTTTAGTATATTGTACAGCAGTTTACTAGTCAAGATAAATGTATGAAATTTCATTGAAATTCATTGTCATGCTAATATAAATAGAAGTCATTTTAATAACTATCTAATTAATTTCTCTAATCAAATTATGCATTATGAATTAAAAGTAACGTGCATTTGTAGGACAGTCACCAAAAACTGGTGAGATTGTTTGAATTTTCATACTACGGCTCTTCTATTATCTGTTGAAGCTCAGATTTAGCTATTTTCTACTTGTATGCTCTATGTAATTTTACTAAAATAATACCAATTTCGGCGAAAGATCAAAACAGAATTATTGCAGATTCGATTTGAGTCTGTAAATGAGGGATAATGAAAAAATGCAACACCCCTTACTTCCTCTAACGCCGGCTTGAGCGGAACTCAATTTTTAACACTTAAAAGGCCTGGAATCCAAAACTCCGAAGGACGAGGCAACATTTCACAGCTGTGACGCGGCCCGTCACACCTGCTGTATAGCCAATACCATACACATTTGAAATACAGTTAAAATATGCAGGATCAATCTATTTAAAAAATATTTCTGATGTTTGATTTGACAATTTCATAGAACATTGTATATATTTTGCAGTTCCTGCCACGGAGGTTATCTTTGACTTTTATTCAAATAAAAACATTTTCATGAAGGAAAATCAAATTTAAACTGTTAGTTGCAAAACCTCGGGGTGTTTACCAAAACCATCAGTTAAATGGTACTTATGGAATCCCATCAACAATATAACTTACGATATAACAGACCAATCGACTGTACCATATATTACAAAAGAAAACTGGCTGACAATAACTGAGAGTATTCTTCGGATTCTTCCGAACAGGACACTAGAGCACTGGCAGCTATATTGCGCAGTATGGACAAACGAGAAAGCAGCAGACATTTAAGGTGATGAATTGGTACTGAACGTGGCATGTACGTATTTGTACTATATAATTCGACGATTACATTTATTTTCTTTTTTTTCATACTTATATTTGATTTATTATCATTTTAGTCTAACATGAAAGGCTTTAAACTTTTAAAACATTTGCAAAAGTACTTCTGTGAATTCAGTTAGTTTCGTAGGCATGCGATTTTATAGATTTGTCAAAAAGGACATTTTTTGGGTCTCAAGTTTGAAAAATTACCAAATAGTAAAATTCAAATACTGTAATAATGATAATTGTACACCAAAGGATGTGATCTTAAATTCTTGGTTTGGCATATCAACGGAAACGACAAAAACAAGTTTGCGACGAGAAATAATGCTTTTTACTCTAGAATTGCGTTTTTGTCATTTTAGATCCGCCTGATGGTCCCCCAATGATAGCTAGCTACGGCTCTACGATACAGGTTGTCGAGACAGAAGCGCTTAAATTGAACTGTTCTGTAACTGGCGGAAAACCATTAGCAACATTAAGAATGACCTGTTTAAACAGTAATGCAACACCATCTGTTACCAAAGAAACGACGGTGACTGTGTATATTGAACTACAAGTCAATCGCAATAATAGTCAATGCATATGCGAGTCTAACCATATTATTAGTGGTACACAAAAAATATACGTCAGACTTGATGTGCTGTGTGAGTGGAATTTCATTAAAATATTTGATTTTTAAATTTGTCAATAACCATAACTGATTATTCATTCTTTCATACCTTAGATTTTGTTAATCTTTGAAATTACCTGTAAGAAAAAATAATTTAATTCTATTTACCTTCTCAGATGCATGTTTGAAAATATTTTGCTCCTAAGTAATGATTATGTAAATGAACACTGCAGTAAGCCAACTGACAAAGTTCAGCTCAGTTATACATTTGATGATACCGAGCGCCTAGTTGTATTTGGACCTGCAACTTCAAGTATTGAAGTGTCGAAATTTACAAGATACAGATACTTCTTGTAGTCATATCTATCTCCATGTCACGGTCCAAATGCTATGTATGAAAATTTATATTATATTTGATAGGCATTACTTCCACTACTTTACTTCAAAGCAAATCTAACTCAGATTAAAACACTCGCCTAACTAAATATATGACACTTTTTTCAGTTCAACCGCGTGAAGTTCGCTTCAACTTCGGAAATGTGGCAGGAGAAAGGTTGATTGTAAACCAATATGAAGAGGTGACTTTTCAATGTTTTGCTGAGTCTAATCCTCATCCAGACATTGTTATCTGGAATCAAAGAGATGAACAAATCAAAATGAGGAAAAATACAAGTTCTCTCCACCACATTATTCATAGGGTATCTTGTTCTGATGCAGGAGAGTATGTATGCTCTGCTAGAAATATGTTAACAAATGGACAAGGAGCGCTATCGAAACTCGTCCTGATCGTGAGATGTAAGTATTACCACTCATCTCCTCTCTGCTTTCCTGTAAATTTATTAATCTTTGCGTATGTCATTTGTAAAACGATATATTATTTAGGAAGTGTTAAAATAGAACCTAACATAATATATTATAGCTTTGAAAACATTATCGATCACTGTTGAGTTACATTGTACTTACTAGTATTAATTTATTTACTTATCATATTTTCTTAACATTAAAGAAGCATTGAACGCCAATTTTAGTTTACAAGAGAAATTTATGAGTTTAAGACGGAATTTTGCAATTAAAAATATCTATATTGTTGATTATATTTAAAGGTCCTCCATGTCCGTCACCTGATACATTAAAGGCGACAAAGATAACTGCTCTGCCATATTGTGACGTCACGTTGCAATTTTTCGCTCAAGACTTTTTTGACGAGCAAAAAAAAACAGTATTCGAATGGTATAAACAGAACGTGTCATTAGAAAATGACACGAAGTATATTATATCGTCTTACGGGTTAAAGTCTAACTTGGTCATCAAGAACATTACTAACTCAGATTATGGAAGGTACCGAGTTATTGTCAGGAATTCATTTGGACATGATACACACTATTATGAATTGCAGGGAAAGGGTAAAATCAAGTTAATTTTAATATTCTACAAACATCAATATGTATTTCATAAGTAAACGTTTTTGATAACTTACCCCAAAATAAAAAAGTTTCAAGACCATTAAGCACACCAATGCTATAATTTTCATTTATCCAAATGTTTCTTTTAATCTATGTTATGTTAAGGTTTCTGTAACGGTACTATTTTGGCATATGGGTGTATTATCATTTGTTTTTTTGGACGACTGGCCATTAGAAATGTTATAATTGATTAAGTAGTTTGTACTGAAGATAAAGTAGCACCTTCCTTACGTATTTGATATTCATATCTGCTTTTCTCCGCGTGATCTACAATTTTATGTGTTCTCAATCCATATTACGAAAATATTATAAAACATATATTTGCATTTTCATACAGCTAATTAATTTTATACTTACTTAACTCCAAAACACGTATATTACTTAAACTAGTATGTACTTTATAAATTTAAATACTATTATTTATTGACAGATTTATTATACAGGTAATAAAATTATTGCTCTTCATGAATGTGCAAATATAAAAAATAATAATTTACCAATGTAAAATGGAAAAATAACATGATAGTGTTTGTAAATAATGAAGTTTTATATTTCTTTATTAAATACAGCTCCCCAACAGTCAACTGAGCCTTTTACAGCTTCGACACTATTTAGGGTCTCAGTTGGTGTATCTAGTTTTACAGTTTTAGTGATTATAATGGAATTATGCTTTTGGATATATACCAGGTAATGAAAATGCCACCAAAGAAAAAACCAAATAAAATAACAAACAAACAAAAACCAACCAAACAAACAAAAAAACACACAAAAAACAAGAAAACAATCAACCAAACAAACATAAACAACAACAATAACAGATAAAAAAGCAAATATTCTAACAACAACAACAAAAACCCCATAAAAGTCCCCCCGAAAACATAATAGTTAAGAAATACACACACACGCACCACGCACGCACGCACGCACCCACACACGAACGCACACAAGCACGCACACACGCACTCACACTCACACATAGAAAGACAAAAAAAAAAAAAAACAAAAAAAACAAAAAAAAAAAAAAAAAAAAAATGAATATAAAAAGATGCCACTGTTTCATGTCTTGATCCGCATGAAATGATTGCGTAATTCAACGACAGTCTATTTTACTTCGTTCGAAATGTTGGTAACATTACAAGCTTATCATATAGTTTTGCGATAGTTATATAAAGAACATGACGATAAAATAGATGCAGTAATTAAATCGCTGTTTCTATATCACTTCTTATCTTTCATTTCAGACGAGAGACAGAAAGGCACCTGGTATGCAGTTTAAACGCATGTTTTAATCTGTACTTCTACTATTAAATATAATATAACAAAATTATAAAACCATTCAGAAATATAATAAAAAGCAAGCTAAGTAATGATAAAAAGTAAATAAAATAAGAACAATATACTTTTGCCATGAACCGAATATTCACTCAGGAATAGAAATGCTACAGTAAAGATTTTTAAGCATGTCCTGATATTTTCACTCTATCAGAGTTTCATCTTACATTAAAACTTTATCAAACGTATAGTAAAGATAAGTAAGTGTTATTATTCAAAATGTATTCACGTTTCATTAACCTTACAGGTCATAGTGGGACGTGATATTTGAAGGCTACAGTACAGTAAATCTATTTAGATTTCAATGCTTTTTTAATTGTTCTTAAAATGTTTTGTTATAGAGGTTATCACTGAATATCAGGCTACTACTGGGGATAATGACAATGATGCAGAAAATGTGTATGAACACATGTACTGCAAGAGGGGCATATATTGAGATGTAAGGAATCAAAACGGATAAGGATACAAACTGTGAATATATAGAAATGACAATACATACCTAATCCGATGAAAAAAATATGGAAAGTAACCAAATCGTTTTGTACAAAACTTTGTTAATTTGTTTCACGTTTAGTTCTTATATATATATTTTCACATAAACTTTTAAATCGGTAAATTTTATCAAACCATATTGTACCTGTTGTTCATGATATATTGAAATATTCCCTCTCATGATCTGTCCAGATTATACAATAAACTAACCCCCCCCCTGTTTCCATTCTATTATGATATGTTGTTTATTTTGAACTAGAAATAACTAAATTATAAGGTTGAATGAAGCTCTCATAACTATTTTATTAGTGGATTTTAATTAATGGTTTACGTAGGGAATAAACACTTTTCTATTGGTAACTTATAACTTTAATGGTAAACATTTTTGTCTTTTTCACCTCTAAAGTTTTAGTTTATTCTGTGTACGGTTGGCAAGTTGAGATTCTACTTTAACCTTCGATCCCTTCCTATGCTGTGTGTTATAAGTAAATCTAATTGTACAATTATGTATTCATATAGGTTATATAACCTCAATGTTTGAATATTTTCTTGCTGATGAATATTACTACTGTAATGATTATTGTGCTAGTATATGGATAGACAAAACTTTTTTGATTTTGTTTGTTGATGATACAAATTGTCATATTTGTATTTGATAAAAGAATAATTATGTTTACAATATAAATATGATACATGTTATCTCAAGTTTACCTAAATTATATTTTATCAATATCTTAATTTCTGTTGTCTTTCCTTTTAAATGAAAACGCATAATTCACATTTGTGAATCACATGGACCGACTTTTTATGACAATTCAGAAAAAAGAACAATACAAAAGAATGTAATTGCATTATCTTCTCGATATATGCTATTTTACATAACGCAGAAATGTGCGGAAGATGAAGCTGACCGTTGTTGTGATTGATCATTGAATCCCTTCTACGGTCTTTTGCGCTGAACCTCTGATCTGGCATGTACATTTTTGTTGTAAGGAAGTTATAAGTTCCTTGCAAAAATGAAGGCAACTAGTACGGGTGATACCCAGGAACAATGCCGTGGCCAGACTGTGCTACAATCTACAAAACATCACCACCAGCACAGCAGCAATCTATCATCACTGGCACCTGTAATACGGTATGTAATACAAGGATGAAATCTTGAATAATACCATTCTATGGAAAATGGAACACCAGCATAAACTACATATTGACATGAAATAAATTTTAAATAATGAATAGAAAAATAAATTTAAAGAATCGTAGTCTCAGATATAAGTATTTTTATTTCCATTGACGTTTTTTTTACAAAAGTCCTTTTTAATTATCATTTATTGGTCAATCTGCATTTAGCGAATCTCTTGAAATATATATAGATCTAATTCAGCCAAGCATGACAGCAACAAAATGAACACAAAAAGGCACAATAATTAAAATACATTAAATATAGTAAAATATAGTATATCAAAATTGTTAGCTTAATGCAGATTGAGGTATGTTGTCCACGATTATCATCTGCACCTAATTCACAGCGCCAAATTTTTTTGAAATGAAAACTGTAATTAGGTCGTTAAACCGGGTTTGGTCCAAAAGATAAATGACTTGAAATTGACATTTGCTTCAGTCTCCGAAATCACAAAGTTTTAGCAAAAAAGCATATTTTGTGTGTATAAGATATTCGAATCATGCTTTTGCTTGACTGGTAGATGAAAACTTTATTTGCGTTTAAGAAAAAGGAACATTGAAGAACGCCAAAAATGGCAACATTAAAAATGGCGAAGACTTTGTTTGATTTAGCCAGGTTATGGACGGTAGTGGAAATGTTAGTTACCGCCTTTGCCCCCTAGCGCAGCTTTAAACAGAATTAATTTTCAACATGAAAATAGTGAAGTTTTGAATTACAATAAATAAATAGATATATACAGGACTTTAGTTTTTGTTTGTTGTCATATATTAATTCACTAAACATGAAGCGAATATATTGTAAGGATTATTTTATCCTACAAAGAGCAGAAACAATTGAATAAATGTTATTCAAATGAGATGTTTTGCTTGAAAGTTTCTATAGCTTCTTTCATGGACCAGTAGCAACTGATTGCCAGAACAAGGACGGTTATGATCCAATTATGTAACATAACTCATTAAAACATTTCTGCTGCCTTTTGTAACAAGGTAGACTACTGTTCGTCTGAAAACAGTATTTCTTTAGCTTTAAAAATATCCTGTCAACAGACGATAGGATTTAGATGTAGAATATTAAAGAAAGGTAAGATGTACAATTTTCAAAGCAAAACAGGAAGTGCATTCAGACCGTATTCCTATACTTTTTTGCATCAACATATTGTCTTCCAAAACATCCCCTTACAAAACAATCTCTTGCAGAATTAAACAAAATTCTAACTGGAATATCTCTAATTATTTTAATTGTTGATGTTGACCAATTAAGGAGATTTAGAGGTAGAATTCGGCTGTCGATATCAAGGAAGGAGCA